TTCCTTTCCATCCATCGATATTTGATCAGATAAACAGTCAACATATCAAGAAGGCAGCCATGAGAACGCACGGATCGCATGGACCATTTGGCCTCGATGCGAATGAATGGAGACGTATTCTAACACACTTCGGGCAACAATCAGTTGAAATTTCAAAAACAATTGCTAAAATTGCCAAAAAATTGGCCACAGAGAACTAAATCCAGAACTAATGGAACCATATAACGCATGCAGATTAATACCCTTAGATAAGAATCCAGGGGTAAGACCCATAGGCATAGGAGAAGTTATGCGTAGGATAATAGGACGAACAATAACTAAATGTCTAAAAAACGAACTCAAGTCGCTCGGTTCAAACTACCAACTCTGCTTAGGACAAAAATGTGGCATTGAATATGCGATCCGCACGCTAAGAGATCAATACAGCAAAACTTCCGCCGATGCTGTTTTACTGATAGATGCCGAAAACGCTTTCAACTCGCTGAACCGAAAGCTGGCATTAAAAAACATCGAAAATACCTGCCCTTCCCTTTTAACAGCGATTAGGAACTCCTACTCCAATCCATCTAAACTATTCGTTAACAAAAAAACAATCTACTCTCAAGAAGGGACAACCCAGGGGGATTCACTAGCAATGGCCATGTACGGTCTAGCCATAATACCCCTCATAAAATTTTTATCAGTAGACGATGTAACCCAGAAATGGTACGCAGACGACGGAAACGCAGTCGGTAAATTAAGCAATCTACGAACCGTCCTCGATAAAATTGTATCACTGGGTAAATTTTTCGGCTACCAGGTGAAAGCATCCAAATGCCAACTCATTGTCAAAGATGAAAAACTCGGTGAAGCTCAGAAAATCTTCGCAAATACAGGAATCACTATAAAGGCACGAGCCCGAGTGCTTGGTTTAGTTATAGGAACAGAATCTGAATGTAAAAAGTTCCTCGAATTTCAACAGAATGAGCAAATCAAAATTTTGAAAAAACTAACGAAAATTGCTAAAACCTCCCCTCAAAACGTTTATGCCTGCTATAATAAAGGAGTTCAAGAAAAGCTTTCATTTCTTGCCAGGACAACGCCTAACACTATGGAAAACTTAGAAATATGTGAAAATATTATCAAAGAACAATTATTACCCAACCTAGTCGGTAAAGACACTTTAAACCCCCAGTTCCGTGAGATATCTTCCTTACCCCTTAAAATGGGCGGACTTAACATCAAGCTGCCATCCGATCATGAAAGCTACCTAGAATGGTCTAAGGAAACATCACTGGTACTGGAATCTCAAGATCCTATTACAGCAGTAACACAGCAAGAAAAAATATGTACGAAAATCAAAAAATTGAAAACTGATAGAACAAATCGAAAAAAGACAAACCTCATTAAATCCTTAAATGAAACAGATAAATACGCAATCGACCTGGCCTCTGAAAAGGGAGCCTCTAACTGGCTCAATGCTCTACCACTGAGCAGATACAACTTCAACCTGAATAAATCAGAGTTCAGAGATGGTATTTACTTAAGATACGGATGGGAACCAACCAAAACCCCACTCACATGTGCATGTGGTGCTGATTTTAACTTGGCACATGCGCTTCACTGTGCAAAAGGTGGTTACACACACATAAGACATAATTAAATCAGAGACACATTCGCCAACCTCATGAACGAGGTTTGCCATGACGTCGAGATTGAGCCGAAACTTCAGCCGTTGCAAGGCGAAAGCTTTGTCAACAATTCAACTACAACTGAAGATACAACTGAAGGCACGACTTGACATTAAGGCAAACGGACTCTGGGGTTCACGATTCAGCCGCGCTTTCTTTGATGTGAAAATTTTCAACCCCCATGCCAAAACATCGCAAAAACTGCAGAAGGATGCATACAAATACCACGAAACGCTGAAGAACTCCAAATATCAGCAAAGAATTTTAAACGTAGAGCAGAGTAGCTTCTGTCCGCTAATTTTTGGATGCACCGGTGGCGCTGCTCCAACAGCCACGCGGACGATGCAGCGATTGGCCGAAAAACTAAGTGAAAAAAGACAAGACAGCTATCCAGAATCTATAAACTACATAAGAACTAAAATAAGCTTCGCGCTCCTGAGGAGCTCTATATTTTGTATAAGGGGGTGCAGATCGCTACGCAAAGTTCAATTTATCGACAACTCCATAAGCGCTATTGTAGAGGAAGGACGGCTAAGATAAATTAACCTTATGACGATGCATTTGATGCTGATTTATGACTTCATTGCTGATATATATGCATTTTTATATCGCTGGTATGGCCCTATCCAGCTTGTGCACTTACCGTAACCCCTTTTGTAATTTACTTTTTTTTTTAATTGAGCCGAGTTCATGATTGTTTTTGCATTTTTCCCCAGTCTACATCCAGAAGGTAAAAAGTGAAATGCTTTGCAGTAAACGATTGGATCAGGAAACATAAGGACTTCTACAAACGTCCTTTTGGTTAGGTAGCGCCTGAACTGTCTGAAGCGCGAGATGTTCCACAGCAGCAAGAAAAGATCGGCCGCAAAAACAGTAGGCAAGACCCATCTCAGCATCTCGGGGTCATCCAAGCTATCATATCGATCATTATTTTTCCTGAAAAACAACAGATTACACTCAAGAAAATTTTCTTACATAGCTTCTTTTTTTTTATCATTTTTTAGAAACTAGTCACTGATTTATTTCCGCCGGATTGACACAGCCGAACGCTCCGACGAGCAAGAAAAGAACATTAGTGGCGTTAGTTGCAAACTCGTTATGAAAATGAGGGTCAGAAGGTGGTTACACACACATAAGACATAATTAAATCAGAGACACATTCGCCAACCTCATGAACGAGGTTTGCCATGACGTCGAGATTGAGCCGAAACTTCAGCCGTTGCAAGGCGAAAGCTTTGTCAACAATTCAACTACAACTGAAGATACAACTGAAGGCACGACTTGACATTAAGGCAAACGGACTCTGGGGTTCACGATTCAGCCGCGCTTTCTTTGATGTGAAAATTTTCAACCCCCATGCCAAAACATCGCAAAAACTGCAGAAGGATGCATACAAATACCACGAAACGCTGAAGAACTCCAAATATCAGCAAAGAATTTTAAACGTAGAGCAGAGTAGCTTCTGTCCGCTAATTTTTGGATGCACCGGTGGCGCTGCTCCAACAGCCACGCGGACGATGCAGCGATTGGCCGAAAAACTAAGTGAAAAAAGACAAGACAGCTATCCAGAATCTATAAACTACATAAGAACTAAAATAAGCTTCGCGCTCCTGAGGAGCTCTATATTTTGTATAAGGGGGTGCAGATCGCTACGCAAAGTTCAATTTATCGACAACTCCATAAGCGCTATTGTAGAGGAAGGACGGCTAAGATAAATTAACCTTATGACGATGCATTTGATGCTGATTTATGACTTCATTGCTGATATATATGCATTTTTATATCGCTGGTATGGCCCTATCCAGCTTGTGCACTTACCGTAACCCCTTTTGTAATTTACTTTTTTTTTTAATTGAGCCGAGTTCATGATTGTTTTTGCATTTTTCCCCAGTCTACATCCAGAAGGTAAAAAGTGAAATGCTTTGCAGTAAACGATTGGATCAGGAAACATAAGGACTTCTACAAACGTCCTTTTGGTTAGGTAGCGCCTGAACTGTCTGAAGCGCGAGATGTTCCACAGCAGCAAGAAAAGATCGGCCGCAAAAACAGTAGGCAAGACCCATCTCAGCATCTCGGGGTCATCCAAGCTATCATATCGATCATTATTTTTCCTGAAAAACAACAGATTACACTCAAGAAAATTTTCTTACATAGCTTCTTTTTTTTTATCATTTTTTAGAAACTAGTCACTGATTTATTTCCGCCGGATTGACACAGCCGAACGCTCCGACGAGCAAGAAAAGAACATTAGTGGCGTTAGTTGCAAACTCGTTATGAAAATGAGGGTCAGAATAATCTAGAATTTCGAAGAAATTTTTGCTAAAAAGTAATTTTCAAACGTTTTAGCAACTATGTGCATCGTCAGGATTTTTACAACAAACTAATCTAAATGACGATAAAACATCAATTTACAAATGTTATTTACAATAGTTCACATACAATTTGGTTCTAAGCCATCATGTTAAAAAATTAGCCAATCACATGTGCCATTCTGCCAGACTGGCACATCGCAACCTTCCGACGCAACACAGAAATAGAAGTAGAAGCCTTAATGGTTGAAAATTACTGCAAAGGAGGTTCAGAATATTCAGGAATTTTAAATTTTCAAAAATTCGATTGTCGAACGAATATTTCTGAGAAATACAAAAAACGGCCATTTTGAGCCAAAAAGTGACAAAAATCAGAACAACAGCGAAAGTAGTGAAAGAAAATCAGACGATAACGATATAAAAAGGAAGCCTCTTATCGTGACAATCACGCACGATAAGACACTTAGCGGAAGGAATTAGCGAGAAGGGAGGCTTCAGTGGGGAAGGAGTAGAGAGCAGTACCCTCTCGTGCCACGAGTTGGGAGTAATAACGACGTTATTACAGTGAAAAAACGGAAGCGGGGACTCGGCCCCCCAGAGACAGTACATGGTGAAGGACTATGAAGAACTTACTTTTTAGCTACTCTGATGCCATAAAATTTTGAATTAACACTAGTATTGTTTGATATTTTAGAATATGCGTAGCTAGAAAGAGAAAAGGGTCAATCCATCTCCAATGGATTTAATATAGACTTGTCACCAAAACCATAAAAAAATATGTAACATTCGCCCTGAAGTACATATCGACGAAAAATAAAGCTAAGCTACAAAACGACTGGACAGCGTCTCAACTAAGCTCTACATGCTTTTCACCGTCTCTACCAAAGCCAGTTCTTTTGGTGGTCTTTCTAACATCGGGTCGACAAAAACGTTACTGCTTTCGGCTTCGGTCAAAACACTCAAATTAACTTGTTTAAATGCAAAACTAGTGAGCTCATGGCTGGGTCTCAGTATCCTAATTGTTGTGATAAACTTATTAAATAGATTTATTTGTTCAAATTTACCGCTTGTGTGTTTTCATATCATATGCGCGCTGGGCTTTCCTCTTCTGGTTATCTTACAAAATCTCGCCGTCCCAGCCGTAGGCGAGTGAAGTTTCCCTGGCGTAACTAGACGCAAGAAGGAGTGAGCTGGTGAATCGACCTCCAATTCGACGTCAGGTTGTACCACTCCTTTCTTTTTTTTTCTTTTTTTTTCTTTTTTTTTCATCGCCTTTGCCTCAGCAATTTTAAACCCTAAGTGAAAGTATTCATAAATCAACCCAAGGAGCTTCCTTTCTCGCCCCAGTTGTCTGTGTTACAGGTTGATGCCGCGATTCCAGGCAAGACGCATCCCTGAGTTCTCACAGAAACTAGTTATCGGGACTTCAAGGACCAAATATATCAAACCATCTCTAGTAAAATCAACAATTCACTCCTACCGCGGCGCAACGCTTCATGATCTGTTTGAAACAGTTTTACAATACAGACCAAAGCGCCTAAATACAGTAACAATAGTTGCTGGATACAATGACTACAGGCTGCATCCACAAGAATTAGAACAGCAGTGGAAAAACTTGATTAACCTCGTCACTAACAAGTTTCAGCCCAAGACACTGATCATCCCCAAAACAATTCAGAACTGTAATAATTCCGAAGTAAACCGCAAAATTTATATTCATAATCATGTGCTGTTTAGTTTGATAAATAGATTTGTACACCCCCATACACTTATTGTTTCGCCTAACCTCAACCTAAATCTAACCCCTCAAATGTTCTGCCGTGATGGCATCCATTTCTCGTTCTACGGTAATGATTTCTTTAAAAATTTTCTTGCAAATTTAATCTAGAAATTCTCTCGCTAACTTGACACCGCCGTCCTTCCTAAAATGGCTACTCAAACACACTGACTTATTTGTAAAAGCAGCCTGCGAGGCGGAGGTGTTTGGTGCTTCACATGCCCAGGCTACATGCATGTAAAATTGTTATAGGGCCTATTTTTCTTAAGCCTCATATGTGACCGAAGTAGGCGACTGTTACACTACTACTATTTTTTGAATTATTATTGTTTTTGTCCAGTAGATAAAAATCATCATCTCTATCGAAGATGAATTAACACTTTCCCTTAACCCCTAGCTTTTTATCGTCAGAAAATGAATGCAGATGTTAGATAAATTCGATTCAGGACATAATAGGGAAGCTAAAATTTGTATAAAATGATTTAAGTCCTTGAATCTTGAACCTGGGGAAATAGCACCCTTATTTCCTCTCCGGAAGGCTGATTTCTACCCTTCACCGTTGTTGTGAATGGCCTTGCAACGATTGTAGCGACAAAATCGTTGCAGCTCGGAGGGGTCTCTGGTAACACTCTGTCGTATTGTTGTTTTTCTTTCAATTCTCGTAGTTGTTTTCGCAACGTATCTCTTTGTTCTGTTTTTATTTTGGGTTTTTTCCAAAATGGTCGTTTTTGACGTTTCTCAGAAAAATGACGTCTTCATTCGAAATTGTAAAAAGTTAAAATACCAGAATATTCTAGTCTTCACGATTCGTCCAATCGTCTGAATAACACCGTTAATCCTCTAAAACTGCTAATTCGGAAGGTTAGCTGCTAATAATCCGAAATTGCATTTTCGTCCATTCTGGTCGAATGTCACAATAGGGTATTCGAGCCTGGTTTTTAATAGCAATCACGTAGTCTTGTAACAGTCGCCTACTTCGGTCACATATGAGGCTTAAGAAAAATAGGCCCTATAACCATTGGCTCAAGAGTCAGGGACACTATCTCTTGTGTTTTTCTACCTCAAAAACGGTCGGAGCCAATTCGGTTCGCTTGCGACATGAGACTAGAACCCGTTACAGCTTAAAGGCTACTACCAAAATATCCCCCCACTCTAGAAAATAAGAACGTTCCCATACTTAGGTCTCGAAATACCCAAAATACACGAACGCCGTTAAAAACAGGGTTGGAACAATCCGTTAAGTTATTTTTTATTAGACAGTGGAACCTTGATCCATTTCAGATGGATCAACCTAAAACTTGCTTTACCTCAACATAACAATCATAAAACACACTCGAGAAAACGAAATTTTGTACTTACATAGCAGCACGCTTGAGACACAGAGTAATTAAACTAATTAACGACTCTGGCATAAATATAATCAAATGTAACTCAAGAAGTTTTCTAACGATGAGTCCCAATCAAGGGAAGTAAGTTTTAACTCAAGAATATAGTTTTGACCCTGGACCATTGGGAGACTTCACTTGACCGCCTTTCCGTTGAAGGTTCACACTGGTCCAGTTGATTTTAGCTCTGCTCTCGTGTTCGTTTGGTCTCCTACATCAGATAGGACAGCTCTACTCTAGTTTTCTACGATGGAAATTGCGAATAGCAATTTCCCACTGTATATATTTGACAACTTTCCCGCAATTGTTAATTCGGTCGTTCTGATTTCTCTTTTTATGTTTTCAGTTGTCGCGAGAAAACTGAGCATGACAGACTCCATTCGAATTTTTGAAAAACAAAACTTCACTCCAAAATCACGTATATTCGTGTTCCTCAAGGTCAAACTTCCAGATATGACCGACTGGCATATCTGAGGATCCGAGACCCAGATATAAGGTTGTGTTCGCATGTAAACGAAAGCTGATTAAAAGTCGTTTGACTGATGGCCTGAAAATAGTAACTTTTACTTAGCCCGAGACAGACCAGAAAATCAACTGGCAAGGTCGAGGCGGTGAAAAACGAGTAGAATTAAGGTAATTGAAGCCTGCCAGTCGTTGATAGGTACTTTTTCTACGCTCCGTCACTGTGTAGTATTTGCGCGAATATTACATAGACGTTTTTATGGCGCTCCTGGGTGGGCCTGTTAAAGGCATGAGACCATCATGATCAGCAAACGTTTCAGCGACGAACAATCCGCTCAGGACGTATGCCCGAGTTAGTGGCCTTAGTGACCTTTTTTGTACTAGGGGGAAAGTTCGTACCCTCCGCCTAGTACTATTTAGCTTTTTAACCTAGTTATAACCGAAAGTTTCGGGGGCCGGAGGGTTAGGTGGGAAGTCATGAGCCCGCTTGTCCCAAGGTCCCGGGACCAAGAACAATAAAAGAGAAAGCGTAAAACCAAACAGAAATAGTGTATAACCAAGAAAAATCCAAAAAAAATTATTTGAACACAAAAAAGTACAAAAAGAACAGTAAAAAATCCAAAAAAAGACCAAAAACAGTTTAAAAAAAAACATAAAGTGACAGTTTATATGTTATTTCCGGACGAGATGCGATCTGACCTTCCTATTTGTTGTTGTTTCAGATTGATTTATATCATTTCTGATGGAAAGATTGTGTGTTTTGGTGGAGGGTTAGGTACCCTCCCTTGAGTTTAATTTGAGTATTTAAGCACATTAATGGTGATTTTGCCGGTGACCGGAGGGTAGAGTGGCAAGCTGACCGACGTGTTCCACACTCAACAGGGGCATCAGAGACAACATCCAAAACAACTGTTGGGTATCGTCGAAACAATTTTAGTATCGTTCGGGTACTATTTCATTAAAACTTAAGAGGTGGGGGGCACGATTGGCGCGGTTCGATTGTACCCTCCATCCATCGCGAATTTCCGAGTTAAGGGTCTTAATTCGGGTATTTTGGTGCAAAAGAGGGCATAGTAAAATTCAGTAACGACTTCAAATATATTGTCTTTACTATATATTACTTATCTCCAATTTAGACCCGAGAAACACCCCAATTTTGTCAAAAATTACCGATTTTCGACCTAACTGTTGACCCCCAAGATTTTGGATATCCGGGCTTTTCCAAACAGCAAAAGGCTTTTATACAGGGAGTTACTATGTAGTTCGATCCCTCTAACTAAAGAAACCGCGCGGAAAAAGACTTACTAGAAGTTAGCGAAAACAAAATTTTTCGATCAAAAATTTGATAATTTTCCGAATTTTGTCAACCTGTTTTGGGGATCGAGTTTTTGATTTTTTTTTGGAGTTAGAGCAACAAAAAAATTTGCGTTAGGAGCGTGCTAGCATAACGTGCTCGGTTGCCAGAGAATTTTTGAGTAACACTCCGATAAGCTCCATAGATAGAGCTAACGACTTAAAGATTGGAAAAGGAAGGAATCGGAGGGTCCAAAATTGATAGTTATTGGCCAAATTTCTGTTTCCAAACCAATTTTGGTCCAATTTTTGCATGTTTCCAGTGCCGTACGGGGTTACTACGCTCGTTTCAATTTTTTAGGCACTTTCACTAGGAAATGCGGAAAAAGTCTTTCAGAATCTATATAAGTGGTGAAAAAAGGCCATTTGACGAACGCGTTCTTGGCGATTTCTCAAAGACTAGCGAGCCGATCGGGATAATTATGGTAACATAAGTCGGCGTTTTTCTACCATTTTCCCGCCCGCAACTGTTTTTGGGTTGATAATCTCGGAAAAGAAAGTTTTTTTTAGAATTTGTTGGTTCGGAGGGTCCAAATTTTAGGGAACCCTCCGAGCGGCAGAAAATTTTATAAGATCACCTTTTTATTCTGCTGGGAAGGTTTATCGTGTCAGCCAACCTGGTTTTATGTCAGTTAGACCGCATTCGAAGGCTTTAACGCGGTAGAAGAACCCGTTTTCTTGATTTTTGGGGAACCCTCCGAAGTAACCCTCCGGAGTCAGCTAAGCTCCATAGCAACCCTCCTTAGTAGAAATTTTCCACGAGACCCTCCGAAGAAGTTAAAACAACCCCCCACAGAGAATTTAGCTTGTGTTGACACCTTCTGAGACTAGTAGGAGATCCTTACAAGTGATATTCAAAGAATTTGAAACTTTGAAGGAACCCTCCGAAGTAACCCTCCGGAGCGTATTAAGCCTCTTATTTATCCTCCTTAATGAGTTTAGGGGGACCCTCCGAAGTAATTTGGGTGATTAAGGTACCCTTCGAAGTAACCCTCCGAGGTAAGCTAAGTGTATTAACAACCCTCTGGAGTAACCCTCCGGAGTGACTTAAGCCTCTTAGCAAC